GAATGCTGCTCTTTTCTCAGGTTCCAGTGAAGGATCCAGGCATTCTGTTCTGCGATCTCAACTTAGTATCACGGAGCTGATTGCGGTGAGCCGTTCAGACCAGCACCAGCTGCTTGGTGCAGAGGAGACCGGTCTGCAGGAGCACAACGAGGAGAACTGCCTTTACTGTGCAGGGCTCTACGTGCTTGGCTGCAATTTAAGCACTCCCACACAAAGCCGCACAGGTAAGCTGCACGTTTATCCAGATGAATATTGGAAAAAGGTGACATCACTTTGACCAGATGTCCATAAAATCCTGTGAGAACTTATGCAATATTTTACTTCAATCATGGTCATCTAGTTACCCAATATCATTGGCTGCGTTTACACTTTGCATTAACATGCGACCTGTATCCGGATGTTGTCCACATACACATTGAAAAGACAAGTGTAAATGCACTTCTGATCGGAATGTTATCTGATCAGCGTGTCCTGGTCCAGAAGTAGTCGAGGATGCATTGTGATTGGATCTCAGAGTAATTCAATTAAATTCAAGTTTATTTGTATAGCGCTTTTCACAATACAAATCGTTGCAAAGAAGCTGTACAATATATGTTTCTACAATATATTTAGTAGTAGCTTATCAGTGGTTACTATGTCAGTAAATGTACATATGGCAGAAATGTACGGAAAAATCAATTAAAGACAAATCAAAACAGACTATGAACACTATTAACAGCAATTATTATGTTTCAATCAAACTTATAGCAAAATTTGGTAGTTCTGTATGTTGTTTCAGGGTTGACATCATCTGAGGTCCTCTGAGGGGTTGGCATCATCTCTTCTCAGGTGTTCTGGATCCAGAATGTGAATGTAATGTAATGTAAACACAATCCAGCCATCGTGTCTGCATTCGCAGGTTGACGTCACGTAAAACCCCATCCAATCTCTCCCGAACTGTCAGAAGAAAAATGGAGGACACCAGGCCGTGGAGCGCTACTGAGACTCAAACACTTAACACCGTGCCTACACCAGACATGAGAGTTGCCGCGCAACAGCGTGAGGCTTTCTACACTGAACGTGACAAAGCGACCGTTGCAAATTATTTGAACTTTGTGTCAGTATGTCAGAAATAGGACGAGGCAACAGTTTACTGTCGGTTATTTGTTGTGTCGCGCCCCCCCCCACATCCAGTGTAGACAGCATCACTGATTATAATGGGTTCTATACTATTTTGCTGCGCCACTTGCGTCCGGTGTAGACACGGTGTAAGACTTATTTGACTATTGCGCGGGTGGGAAAGAGAGTTCCAATCAGTTATCCGGATAGAGAAGTCACTTGATGTTGCCAAGTGTAAACACGCCGAGTCCTGATTGACTGATGATCCGATCTGCTTGATCAGATCTGATCGCATGTTAATGCCAAGTGTAAACGCAGCCATTAGGTAATTTGTGTTCCCTCATGTTCTTATACACCCTCAACCCTGTTTTAGACTATCCCGATGCTCCATTCTCAGAGTGGTGCAATCAGTCCTTACACAACCTGGAAGTCATGCCTCAGTCTAAGTACTCAGGAGTGTCTGGCTGCAGCGATGCTGTCTCTCAGGGCTCTGGTGGCAGCACACGCAGCACCGAGCTTGTTCTTGGTGAGGAATTCTTCAAGCTGGCAAAAATCCGGTTGGAAAATTCAGGCAATTCTCAAGCATTTTGTTTTGTACAGGTGAATTGATAATTGTATGCCTGTGTATGCTGTCTTTCTGCCAGGGGTGAAAAATATACCTGAGGATGCTCCAGCGTGCCGTGTTCTTCTGAGGAAGGAGGTGCTTCGGCTACACGGTGTAAGACTTATTTGACTATTGCGCGGGTGGGAAAGAGAGTTCCAATCAGTTATCCGGATAGAGAAGTCACTTGATGTTGCCAAGTGTAAACACGCCGAGTCCTGATTGACTGATGATCCGATCTGCTTGATCAGATCTGATCGCATGTTAATGCCAAGTGTAAACGCAGCCATTAGGTAATTTGTGTTCCCTCATGTTCTTATACACCCTCAACCCTGTTTTAGACTATCCCGATGCTCCATTCTCAGAGTGGTGCAATCAGTCCTTACACAACCTGGAAGTCATGCCTCAGTCTAAGTACTCAGGAGTGTCTGGCTGCAGCGATGCTGTCTCTCAGGGCTCTGGTGGCAGCACACGCAGCACCGAGCTTGTTCTTGGTGAGGAATTCTTCAAGCTGGCAAAAATCCGGTTGGAAAATTCAGGCAATTCTCAAGCATTTTGTTTTGTACAGGTGAATTGATAATTGTATGCCTGTGTATGCTGTCTTTCTGCCAGGGGTGAAAAATATACCTGAGGATGCTCCAGCGTGCCGTGTTCTTCTGAGGAAGGAGGTGCTTCGGCTGGTCATCAACCTGAGCTCCTCAGTGGGGACAAAAGGGAATGAAACTGGACTCCTCACGTAATTAAATAATTCAATTTGATATCAATTCAACAAATGCTTTCCAAATTCATTTTTAACAGAGGTTTCACTAAATATTGCTGTAACTGGGAAGACTTTTTGGCTGAACATTATTTTGATTTGATCCTTTTGATCATTTTAATGAGGCAGTATAAAGTGAGATTTTTCTTGTGGAAAATGAAGGGAAGAGTAAAGCCTAGTAGAGAGAGGATTTTTTTTCTTCTCTGTTTTCTTTCATTGTAACTTGTTACCTTGCAGAATCAAGGAAAAGTTTCCTTATGCATTTGATGACATCTGCCTGTATTCCGAAGTTTCATACTTGCTGGCTCACTGCATGTTCAGACTGGCTTCACGACGCTTCATTCAGGAGCTCTTTCAAGATGTTCAGTTCATTCCGGTAATGCGAAACTTTTCTCACATTAGCCCAAACAGTCCAACAGACCTGTTTTTCTGCAGCTAAACTGGGTTTTTACAATTTAGTTTACAAGTTTCCAGTTTTATTGATGATGTCCCTCACAAATTGTTTTTCAGTTCTGGAATTAAACTAGGTTATAAGTTTTAATTTCTATGCCACTAGTATAAATGAACAGAATTGCAAAATAATGATTGCTTTTAACACTTTTACATTACTAAGCATTCATGTCGTAATCTTCTTATTTGTAGATGTACGAGGAGGCTGAGATTCTGACAGTGCCCAAGAAGTCTACCACAATAGATCTTCCATCAGAGCCGTGATCCTCTAGGCGTTTTTCCAGACTATTCTCTTCCCCTATGCAGCATGTTGTCAATCTTTTTCTTGGCCTGACCATGCAACTAAGATGAATACGCAATAAGAGACTAGGGCTATGGGACAGACATAAGTGGATTGAGAGAGTCACCTGGAATGTTTCCACAGAGAGGGAAAAAGCGGTACGTTAAGAGAACAAACTCTTTTTACCTGAACAAGTATACTTTACACAGATGCTCTGTAGACATCTACAGTGGATGTCGTAACCAAATTATCCTTGTAAATGACAGTTATGAACTGTAAAGCATTGAACGGAAAGTGAAACATGCATATATTTGAACTGAGTCAATGCAAACTGTATTTCAAATGCAAGCGAGCAAAATCAGTCAAGAGTCTCTAGGGAGTTTATTAACTTCTGTCATTTCCGTTCAATCAATATTGTCCTTTTTTAAGGGCCTGGGCGTATGATTGCACGTAACAAAAGCATTATTTTTTTTCCCTGAGCGGATCCCTCAACACTACAACATTCCAGCTGTTTTCTTTGGATTTGTCTATTAGTAATTCTGGTTGTTTAAGTATGAAATGGCTTTCGCAAACACTTGTAAGACACTTGTAAGACAATCATCATTAAGTAAGAGTAATAATCAGCAACTGACAGTTTTTCTTTCCCTTTTGTACCTGATTTTTATTCTTGAAGCACATAGCAATCCCTGAGTAAATGTATGCACATGTATTTGATGGTGGTGTTACACAATCATGCAATAGCCACTGTATTGTATTATTGTGTAACTTTGTTAACTGACTTGTGAAAAATCATCCAAAAAAAATCTGACATTTGAATCAGTAAGATATTTATTTATTTATTCACTTATTTATTGGTCCAAGCAGCTCCTCTCTGTCTCTTTGACTTTATTTTAGCCCATTAGCCAAGATAAAACTGGCTGTGTATTATTTATATCTTGACAGTAAATGTATAGAAAATGGGCTTCAAAAGAGGAAGTTAAAGTGCATTTCACTACTGCTATTTTGCAGTTTTTCTCTTCTCTGTTTTAAGTCATTTTAGTGATTTTGAATTAATAATAGAAATACTGCACCCAGAATGTTCTCTTTCTGTAGAGAAAATCATTAATTATTGAAGCATTAATAAAACCAAAATTCGCCAAACATATTTCACAATATTTGTATATGAGAAATACCTTTGTACTAATAATGCTTTTTAACCTGAATGTGGTCAGGAGATTTTGAACGGGCAAAAACATATTGGGTCAAAAATTAAGGTTAAACTGACAAGACATGATTAAGACTGATCCTTAATATATGACATGTTCTGCTCAAATTCAACTGCATGTCATTCATAAACTACTACTATGCTTTATCATTATCAATTTTTATAACATCAATTCTCAGTATTGCGCATACACATTTTGGTTTAATAAGATAACAAAATGTCTTCAGGGTTAGGATGAATCTAGTTTAACATTGAATAAAAAAAAAACATGACCAAAAATGGTTAGATCCCACTTTGTAAGTATAAAATTGAGGTTCATATTTGAATTAATTCTATGCAATGTGCCTGTTAATTCTGTATGTACAAATGACTTATTGAAGATAGGACAATCACTTCTTCAAACATTTTCTTGGCTGGACCATTTATGTTATTTAGGCAGCTTTAATTATTTTGCCTTATTTGTATTAGCTTTAACCTATTAGAATTAATGAATTTGCTCTTTTTTTCTTGTGTTATTTATTATAGAAACTACTAAATCTGCCTTTGCCTACCTTGGCTTTTGAATTAAGTATCAGGTTTCAACTTCCATTATTTTTTCTATTGTAAAAACTGAGTCTAATATGGCCAGCAATAATACTAGTAGTCGTTACAGTATTTCCTTTTAGGCTTCTGGGGAAACTTTTAAGTGCATGTGCATTCTAACCCCTTTCTGCAGTATAATGGATAGAAAAAAGAAATATGGGAACTGTCCAAGAGCAACAGATAGTATGGAGTGGTACATACATTTGATGCAGTCTTTTTTATTATTATTATTATATATTGACTGGACATTGAACAGTAATTAAGACACTTATGAAATATTCTTTTTGAACAAAATAAATCTGGAATCTGCCCCTAATATTTTCGGAAGTGTTCTTAGATAAATAATTTCCGCAAAGTCATTAGTATCAGAGGGTGTGCTGAAAATATCCCAGAATGTCAGATGGTTATTTGTGGGTCTTTTTCCACAGTGTTAAATCATGGTTTATTATTTTTTTGCCTCATGTTTTCACTAGGGCTTATGTGCAGCCCATGACCGGAAGCCATTGTCAAATTGTTTTGAAAAGAATTTTTGAATTGATAACAAAAATGTACTGGTGTTTTTAAAACCTTTGAAATGATAACAAACGCCAATTATTGCAGTTAACTGTATTTGTGAAACAAGTTCCAAGCATTTTAAAAGGGTTGTTTTCTCCATCACCATTAATGCTAAGAGTGTAAAGGAAATGCATATATTTTAAATGTATAGCCTATTTGTTCATTGTACAACTAAAACTAACTGCACCTTGGCTTTAAGTTATTTTTTTTTCCTTTTAAGTGCACTCATGATTTTGCAGAGCACTATGAAATGTAAGCACCATTTAATAATGAAATTGCAGACTGATGCAATAAGTGTTATTTATATTTTCCTGAAGGGAAAAACATCTAAAACTGTTGTACATACTGATAATGTTTCTTTAATTATGGGCTTTCTTGCATAATTTAATGTGTTTTGAGGGGAGCGGAGGGGGGCTATGGGCCTTGAGAATCTAATGAAAGGGATGCGTACGTGATAAAATAAACCTCAATTTCCTTGACACATTTCTCAAGTGTTTCATTGTTGTTTGGTGTTTCTCGCAGATGCTTGGTGGTTTTTTTTTTTCCAAATCAGAAAGTCCTTATGCTCAGCCCAGGCCAGCTGCGCTCGCAAGAATCCCAGAGAAAGGCTTTCCACAGAACAGTCAGTCAGTGGATACAAAACAGTGTTTTTTTTTGTTTGTTTTTTGTGCATATTTTGTCCGATACGATAATGCTTTTATGTACTAATATGACTGTAGTATTCTCATCTCTAATAACAGTTTACCTTCTGTAGATCCATACTGATTTCTCCAGTCAGCGTTGACGGTGTGAAATAGACCTGTAATCCACATTCCTTCCTACTTAACGTAGGCCTACTGAGTTCTCATCTTGTACTGAGTAGGCTACTGTACGCAGGAAAATATCGATATTAGCCTAAAATCTTCGAGATGGCGTTGGGGAATCGTTTTAATGTGCTGCCATTAGAACACGCAGCGGTTAATAAACTTGTTATTCTTGATTCCCTTTCCAAAGGGACTCTAGTAACTCCTCGCACCCACCCTTCCACTGAGATCCTCCCACTACACGTTCTCACACTTCTGCTCGTGTACGAGTGAATTTAGTTGTTTTCCAAGACGCGGCTCTGATAAGTTTAACATGTTTAGCTCTGGGCGAAAATAATTTAAGGAAACCTGCGAACACTTTAAGCAGGTGGGTGTTTTCTTCTTCTTCTCGTAATTCTTTTAACTTCTCAAGAAAGGCTTTGTGTAATGTTTATGTTCTAATGACACGAATCAATTAACCTATATGACTAACTATATGTAACTATATATATGTTAACTAACTATTACGGTTCATAAGGAGAGTCTTTACCTCACTTATTCGATTAATTCTATTTTATTAGATTAGGTATATTTTTATATAACACACTGGTTCCGTTTTTAGTGAAATCAGTTATTAATTGTTTGTAAAATACGTTTTGTAAAATATTTCCTTTTTAAATAAAAAAGCAGGCCCATGGTCCTGACATCATATGTAAAGAATGATTACTTTGCAAGTCCTATGAGTAATATGGATCTTTTTATACCAAAAATATCAACTCTTGGGCCATGTAGCAACTGAAGAGATGTTCTGAACAATTGAACTCTCAACAGAGTACAAAAATTAAACCATGTATATTATGTTGCAAAATAAACAAACAAACACACATGGTGTACATATGGTATGTGAAATCCAGATGAGAAAGCAAAATATATAAAGGATTTACAAAATTCACAGTCATCCATGGTGTTCAGTCATATTAAGTGATCTCTAAAATGATTGCACTTCATGTTTCTGGTGTGTTGTGATTGGAAAAACAATAATGTCAATATTAGTCATAATTTAACTCTCGGTTAAACATGTAATGGATTAATATTTGATGTATTGGATGTGCTATTGTTTAGAAGTCTGTTCAGTCACCATCTGTGGTGTGTTTACTGTTTACTCATTTTCATAGCTGCAGATCATAAATGATGATAGTCTTATCTACAACAGACTTTAAGCCTCTAATTTTCCAGTAGTAATGCACCAATAATCGGAATTGCTGCTTCGTAATGGCCTAATGAATTATGTTTGATTTGATTTTTATTTATTGTTCATAATCCATTTCTGGTCTTATGAGCAAAACATTTCATTTTTTGAAAGTCTTTTCATACTTCACGTCAACATGAATAGAGGGTTTAGAGTTTCTCCATCAGAACAAGAAAAGTTGTACTATTTGTATACCTGAATCACAAATGAGTTGAAGGGTTACTGTCCAAATAATAAAAATCAACAAAATAATCTAGTTTTTATTTTTTTTTTAAGAAACAGGTTGGGCTGTGGTGCAGTAGATACTGCACATACTCAAGGTAATGCAATTTGAGTTTGTGTTGAATCATGTCCTGATGATTCCATTTTCTCTCTCTCCTTCCACTTTACTATCCCCATGTCCTGTAAATTAAAACCCATTAGGGAAGAAAGATAACTTATTTCTACTTTTATACCTTATTAGAAGATGCTATTCAGCCATGCTTAATTGATTAGAACCATTTTGTTTCCTTATCAGATCTAATTGCTAATGGAGACACTTGTGAGCCATTTCTTGTCCAGAATCTTCTGAGATCAATCATGTCAGTCTGGCTTTTGTGTGCTCTGCTTTTTTCACTGATTGGCCTAACAAAACAGGATGGTGAGTCTTGAACGCATTTAACTTGTGAAACTTTTAAAGAGATAGTTCAACAAAAAATTAACATTTGCTAAAAAATTTTACCCTCAGGGCATCCAAGATTTTGATGATTTTGTTTCTTCATTAGAACGGATTTGGAGAAATTTAGCATTACATCACTTGCTCACCAATGGATCCTCTGCAGTGAATGGGTGCCGTCAGAACGAGAGTCCAAACAGCTGATAAAAACATCACAATAATGCCCAAGTAATCCACACGACTCCAGTCCATCAATTAACTTCTTGTGTAGCGAAAAGCTGCGTGTTTGTAATAAATCCACCACGTCTTCAAATGAGTCTTCTATAATATTGCTTTCTCCAGTGGAAAAAGTAATCTCGTCTGAATCAGGAGAGAAATATGCACAGATTAAGCACTGTTTAAAAGTGAAAACAATTCAAAACATTTCTAAAAACATGCGTCACTGGATTTAGATGTGAGAGGACAGCAGGGGATGGACTTTTTCACTGGAAAAAGCGTTATTATGTATTACGGTATTATGGATTATTGGCCAGAGCGGTTTAAAGTTAAAATGTCTTAATGATGGATTTGTTTCTTACGAAAGAAACAAACACATCTACATCTTGGATGGCCTGATGATGAGTGCATTTTCAGAAAATGTTCATTTTTTGAATAATATGTATACATTTATAATATGTATGAACAGGGCACCCAGTTCCTATAAAAGAGGTGAAAGTGTATGCAGAGGAAACGGACACATCTAATAATGGTGCATGGGTGTTGAATGTTGCATGGAGAGATGAGTTTGCTGAAAATTATGAATTCGAGAAAATCAGCTATGACATAGAGGTCCTTCATACTGAAGAGATGAAGACAGTTCACTATGTAAGTGTGATTTTTTACAAAAGCAATGGAAATGTATGCATACGGTCATTTTTTTTCAATGAGAAATAACTGTTTTAGGAAACTATACATGTGATGCCAAACAAAACAACCTTTTATCATTGGAAATGGACCTCACCTATACCGTTGCAGTGCACTTCCCATTCGGTCAGACTTAGGCATCGAGATCAGCATTACATTGGTGAATGGACACCATTATATACGTACAACGGTTTGTAGCCACAGGTTGTTGTTACACTTTATGCATGTGTTATGCAAAAGAGCAGGACAACTGAACAATAACTTAACTGTTTTGCCTATAAAATAACAGGACAAGATCTAAATGCTACAACAACAACTGTCTTTCCTCACGATCAAGTTTTCATGGTTGGGAGTAACATCACGTTCTGTTGCATCATGGAGACAGATTCCAATGTTCCATTGGTTCCATTTCTAAGTCCAATCAGCAAAAGGACATACATCACAGAAGAACCAGTTCACTTTGATAGGCCTTCTGAATCCACTTCAGACATACAATGTGATGTTAAAGGAAGCTCTTCAGTATTCCATACTGGCGCTTCAGTATTTATTGGCTGTAAGTCTACGCTCATCCTGTTTACAAGGAATTGTTATTTTTTTAAACCCGTCAGTTTTGAAATGTTTTACTGTAAGTTAAATCTTAAGCAGCTGGACTTCATTTTCCATTTGGTGAGGATTAGTCAGAGCTTTTTAAATATTTTGCCCACATATTGGATTTTGGCCACATGTGGGAAATTCCCACCATTTTAACGATGAAGCCACTTGGATGAGTTGGCAAAAGTGTGGTATTTTCTGTGGAGGCTGGAAGATAGAAAACCCCCAGTAACAATTACTCTATTCCTTGCATTCATTTATGAAAAAAATTATAACATTATACCTTGCTTACCAGTTCATTAGTTAGAATTAGTAAACATGGACTAATACTCATAAAGCCTCGTTCAAAAGTTTGGGGTCAGATTTGTAATTTTTAAGTCTCTTATGCTTACCACAGCTACAATAATTGAATCAAAAATACAGCAAAACAGTAATATTGTGAAATATTATTGCAATTTAAACCTTTGATTAATGTAATGAATCCTTGCTGAATAAAAGTATTAATTAAAAAAAAAAAAAACTTTGAACTGTGTATACCAAATGTTAATTTGAGTTTAACTTCACTGGATGCTACAGATCCCCCAGATGACCAGAATCTTACATGTATAACACGGGATCTCAGCTCTGTGGAATGTCACTGGGAAAGAGGCAGAAAAACCCATCTGTATGTTAAAAGAGAGACAAACTACAAACTTAATGGAAGGTATCCACATTGCTGAATATATCCATCTTAATGTACAGTGTGAATTATGCATGGTTGCTCTCATCATACTGAATTCAATTCTCTGATGCTAATTGTTTTGCTTTTGTCAGAGATTGTAAATTTGGTCAATGTGTCCTACATGCGATGAAACCGCAGGTGACAAACTGGACCCTGATTGCCAAAAATCCCCTTGGTGTGAAGACTCTCACAGATACAGCTGACCCCACACACCGAGGTAAAACTTATTTTAATATAGTTGTATTATCTCTTAAAATACTGCATGGCCTCAACATTTAACTGTGAATTTAATCTTCTGTTTTCTTCTTGCACAGTATGGATGAGGGCACCCATTAAAATATCTCATGCTGCTTATGCAAGAGAAGTCACTCTTCGGTGGAGTTGGAATGAGAACAATTATACTTGGTTTCCAATGATTTGTCAAGTGAAGCTCAACGGAAGCATTTACAATGTTGGTGTCATCAGATTTGATCTTGCATGAAAATTGATAAGCATTCTATTTTTATCTTTCCACTGTTTGACTTACAAGGCCTGTACATGCACTCTCACAAATGTCCACACATTTTCATCTTTCACAAAGAAAACCTTCAGTGGAAAGGGACTTTCGTCACTTGTACTTGTAAATCTGCAGCCTTTTGCTAAATACACAGCTCGAGTAAGATGTGGGTCTTATGAGCACTTCTACGAATGGGGCAACTGGAGTAAAATTACTGAGTTGTCCACTAAAGAGGACGGTAAGTATTCAGAGGATTAACATATTAGAAAATATAGTGTAAT